GCGGGGCAGCTGCCGAAGCGACCGGGAGAGGCGAGTCGGGATGCCTCTGTGCCTGTGTAAAAGTGCGCCCACCAAGCCACCCAACCCACCAAATCGGTGGTCAATTTTTGAATCCCACCACTGATCCCCCTGCTTGAAAGGGACCCAGGCCAGAGTTTCTTTCAAAACACGTGGAGGTGGGTTTTATTTTTGTTAAGAGTTTTGGTGGGGAAAACCGGTTGGGAAAGGAGGTCTATAGCTCCCCACCATTCCCTTCTCCATCTGTGTCACAGCAAATCATGGTTTGGGGCCAGACTCCCCCCCCCCCCCCACCTGCTGGTCTAACAATATCTCAAAGCTCTTCGGTTCCTCTCACATCAGTCAACTCATAAAATATTTCCGTGGTCTTTTTAAGAGTTGCCAACAGAAAGGGAGGAGGGAGCAGTGCGACAGCTTGCAAAATTGAAAATGCATCCCGTAAATAGTTTTTCAAAGACAGTAGCAGGGGGCAACCTGGCTCTCCCATCCAATTTTTCTCCCCCTTCCCCCCCCCCCAGATCCGTTGGGCGCAAACATTCCTTGGGGGAAGGTCCCACCTGTCCTGTTGGGAAGCTCTTAGAGGACCAGGAGAAACCCAGTGTCCTGACAACCAGCCGCCCGCCTGCTCCGCATCGTGGTACCTCCAAGGAGGAGGCCTCCCAGGGCAGGTAAGTGAGCCACGGCCAGAAGGACCAGGTGTCCCATTAGCCACGGAGGGGTTTAGGGCTCTTGTGGTTCCTTCCCTGGTCTTCTGGCCGTTCTTCCCATCCACCTACGAGCTTCTGGTCTTATTCCAGGTGATCATCCCTTCTCGTTTCTCTCTTCGCACCTGATGTTTCTGTAGAAATGCTGCTTCACCAGCAGCCACAGACCTGATCTTATAGCAATAGTACTTATATGCAATAGACTGATATGTACTGTATATGTCTATTATTAATAGTACTTATATACAATAGACTTATGTGCTGCTTCACAGAGCTTTCCAGCCCTCCCTAAGCAGTTTACAGAGTCGGCCTCTGCCCCCAAACAATCTGGGTCCTCATTTTTCCTTACTTTATTTTTAACTTTACTTTACTTTACTTCTTTACTTTACTTTACTTTAATTTTACTTTTTACTTTACTTTTTACCTGACTTTACTTTAGTTCTTTACTTTACTTTAATTTTACTTTTTACTTTACTTTTTACTTTACTTTTTACTTTACTTTTTACTTTACTTTTTACTTTACTTTTTACTTTACTTTTTACTTTACTTTTTACTTTACTTTACTTTATTGCCATTGCACCTCGTACAATGAAATCAAACAGCATCTTCAGTGCACATCATGACCATGAAAATAAACACAAACACACATCCTTCATACTCCACACATTGAATGGAAAACCCCTGCTATTGCATGAATATTGCACTATGCAGTAGAATTCAAAAGAACTACTGTCTATTTGTCCTTTTTATTATTGTCCTGTACCGTCTGCCAAATGGTAATAGTTCAAAAAAAGGGTGGCCGGGATGAGATGGATCTTTGAGGATGTTTTGACTTCCCAATAGCAAGAGCCCTTAGACTTATATGCTGCTTCACAGTGCTTTCCAGCCCCCTCTAAGCAGTTTACAGAGTCAGCACATTACCCCCAACAATCTGGGTCCTCATTTTACCCACCTCGGAAGGAGGGAAGGTTGAGTCAGCCTTGAGCCTGGTGAGATTCGAACTGCCAAATTGCAGTCAGCCGGCAGTCAGCAGAAGGAGCCTGCAGTACTGCGCTCTGACCACTGCCCCACCGTGGTTTATTTTATTGATTTAATTAAATTTATAGGCCACCCATCTCACTTAGGGTGTCCCGCATTCTGTTTAAGGCAGGGGTGCCCAACCTTGGCAGCTTATAACCCTTGTGGACTTAAACTCCCAGAATTCCCCAGCCAGCCATGTTAAAGTCCACAAGTCTTAAAGTTCAGCATAAGGTCTCCTGCCTCAAGCATGGGGTTGGACTAGAAGACCTCTGAGGTCCCTTCCAGCCCTACAAATCTATGTTCCAAGCTTCCATTCCTCATAGGTTTTACCTTCCAGGTTCCTTCATGTCCCAAAGGTGTTTTCTTTCAAAAGGCAACTGGACTTTGTTTTTTTTCTTGAAGAGGTTTCGCTTCTCGTCCCAAGGAGCTTCATTCAGTTCTGACTGAATGGCGGAGGATGGAAGGATTGTATTACTTGCAGTCATCTGGTGGTTAGTGCTCTTTCTGAGGGTCACTGAGGCCACTTGGAGGTTTATCTGTGCCCAGGTTCATACATAGATAAACCTCCAATGACTCTCAGAAAGAGCACTAACGACCAGATGTCTGCAAGGAATACAAATCCTTCCATCCTCCACCATTCGGTCAGAACTGAAGGAAGCTTCTTGGGACGAGAAGCGAAACCTCTTCAAGGAAAAATAAAGTCCAGTTGCCTTTTGGAGAAAGCACCTCTGGGACAACCGTGACTTGGATGGCTGAGACCCTCCACGGACAGGTTCCTTCATGGCCCCCCTTCCTGGGCCAAGGTGCCCAGGGAAGGGGCCACTTCCAAGGTGCGTTGGCTTCCCATGAACCGTGAAAGGCTGGGGGTCTCCATCCTTTCGGGGGAGCACGCCTGGTCTCGGAAGGGCCTGGCGGTGCAGCCGGGGGGAGGGGGCTTCTGCAGGGCTGAATGACCCCCCCCTCTCCTCTTGTGCAGGTCGAAGCAGGAGGGGGCTATGGACCCCGAGGCCCCCCCAGCGAAGAACAGCTTCAACAACCCCGCCTATTACGTGCTGGAGGGGGTCCCACACCAGCTCCTCCTCCCGGAGTTGTCCCTGGCGACCTCGGCCAAGCCCCCCGCCCCCCGGAACAAGGTCCAGATCACGGTACCCATCCAGCTGGAGCCCTGGCGCTGCCCCCAGCCGCCCGCCCAACGGGCCGAGGAGAACGCCGAAGAGGAGGAGGCGGGGGTCCTCAACCTGCCGCCCCCGGACTTCCCGCCCCCTCCCTTGCCCAAATCGGTGGCCTTGGAGATGGCGGAGGGGCCCCTCTACACCCCGGTGGGCGGCCGAGGAGAGGAGCAGGCGGCCGGCAAGCCACGCGCCACCGTGGTCTTCAGCGAGCCCCTCAAGACCAAGCCCCCCAAGCTGCATCCCCGGCCGGCCCCATCCCTGGGGGCGGGGTACCTCCTGGACGCCCCCACCGGACCCCAGGTTGGCCCGGGCCTCCTGGACGACTGTTCCTGCTCCGTGCTCCAGATGGCCAAGACCCTCAGCGAAGTGGAGTACTCCAGCGGGGGCGGCCTGGGGAGGGAGCAGGCGGGCCGGCCCCCCTCCCACCCGCTGAGCAAAGTCCGGCTGGATCTGGCCCACCGCTGCCTGCCGCCCGACTACAGCCGCCCCGGGGGCTTTGCTGCGCGCTCCATCCGGGAGAGCATCGAAGAGGCCGAAGAGGTGGGTCCTAATTTCCCAAAATTGCCCAGCAACCCGTTGCAATGGTGTACGGTCTCCTGCTTGGGCAGGGAGTTGGACTAGATGACCTACAAGGTCCCTTCCAACTATCTGTTATCTGTAAGTCGAGGACTACCTGTCATTTTCTGCTGGGTTTGGACTCAAGTTGCCTTGGTAACAGATCTCGCCTGCCTTCCTTGAAACCTTCTGCCTTGCCCTCTGTGGATGGGCTTTGTAGTCCAGCCCAGAATCCAGATGCTTTCTGCAGAGATGGGGGGGGTCACATTGGGGAGGGGGACGCCAGGAACCTTCTGCCCCCCACCCACCAACCCCTGTTCCGCCTGGGCAGAGAAGGCAGGGGCTGCTTGGGTGGCCAGGCCTGGTCCCTGACCGGTCCCTCCTGCGGCTCCTTCCCCCTCGCAGAGCCTGACCCAGGAGGGCCAGAGTGCCGGCTGCAGGCGCAGCGAGTCCAGCGTGGGGGAATGGCTGAGGGCCATCGGCATGGAGCGCTACGAGGAAGGGCTCATCCACAACGGGTGGGACGATCTGGAGTTCCTCAGGTGAGTCTCCGGTCGGCCGTTCGGTCTCGCGGTTAAGGCGCCTGCCTAGAAAGCGGGAGATGGGGAGTTCGAGTCCCGCCTTAAGGTGAAAACAGCTGGGTGGCTTTGCGCCAATCACTAGGAGGCAATGAGTTCTAGTTCCGCCTTAGCCGTGAAAGCCAGCTGGATGACTTAGTCCAGAGGTCCCCAAACTTGGCCACTTTAAGGCTTGTGGACTTCAACTATGCTGGCTGGAGAATTCTGGGAGTTGAAGTCCACCAGTCTTAAAGTGGCCAAGTTTGGGGACCTCTGGACGGAGTCCCTTTCTCTCTCAGCCTAGCCCACCTCACAGGGCGGTGGTTGTTGTGGGGAAAATAGAGGAAGAAACTCAGAAAGTGTGTGTTGAATATGCTTGCTGCCCTTTGATATTTGTAAGTACGTAAGTAAATCAATAAGTAAATCAATAAGTAAAAAAATTAGTAAGTAAATCGATAAGTAAATCAATAAATACATAAGTAAGTAAATAAGCAAATAAATAATAAGTAAATCAATAAGTAAATCAATAAGTACATAAGTAAATAAATTAGTAAATAAATAAATAAACAAATATAAGTAAATAAATAAGTAAATAATAAATAAGTAAATAATAAATAAGTAAATCAATAAGTAAATCAATAAGTAAGTAAATAAGTACATAAGTAAATAAATTAGTAAATAAACAAATAAGTATGTAAGTAAATAAATAAGTAAGTAAATAAATAAGTAAGTAAATAAGTAAGTAAACAAACAAACAAACAAAACAAAGGGAGCTGGGAGAAAGCCGAACCGGGATGGTCTTTGTGGGGCACCTGCTTTCTGGCCTGGGAACTGAGAGGCCAGTCGGGAGCATCGCAGAAGGATCCCAAGAGGACCGAAGGGTCTAAGACCTGGGGCAAGCGAGGAAGGAGCCCCCTGGCCTTCGCTCCCGAGAACTTCGAGCCCCCCAGGACGGGAGTGGGGGAGGCAGCAGTAGAACAGCAGCTGCGGTGTGGGAGCAAAAGCCGAGGGAGGCAACGTGTGAACTGAGGAGGAATGGCCTGACAGGGAAGCCAATTCACCAGCGGGACGGCCTGTCTCCAGAAGCCCCGTCACGGGAGGGTTTCAAGAAGAGACGACGGGACGGCCATTTCTCCGGGATGCTACAGGGTCTCTTGCTTGAGCAGGAGGGTGGACTGGAAGACCTCTGAGGTCCCTTACAGCCTTAGGAGTCTATGATTCTAGAACGGAGGGAGGAAAGAGGAGAGGAAAGGAAGGGAAGGAAGGGAAGGGAAGGAAAAGGGATGGAGGAAAGGAAAGAGCAGAGGAAAGGAAAGGAAAAGGGATGGAGGAAAGGAAAGAGGAGAGGAAAGGAAGGAAACGGAAGGAAAAGGGATGGAGGAAAGGAAAGAGGAGAGGAAAGGAAAGG